CTAGGGTTTTGTAAAGCGGCACTAATATTTCACATGATTTTGATTCTATGCTTGTTTACACAACCCAGGATTGTATTCGCTTTTTCGGCTGCTGCTGCTGCACACGGCTGGCTCGTGTTCGACGGATCGTCCATTGGGACTCCAAGGCCCCTCTCACTTTAACTCTTTTTGAGCCAGATCTTGCCTAATCTGTATTTACTATACCTTTGATTTTTCCTGCCTAGATGTGAGGCTTTGCTTTTCTCCATAGTAAAATTCATTTTGCTGGACAGAGGCCATTGTTCCAAGTCTGTAAACATCCTTTTGGATCTTCAGCTTGCCTTCTGGGGTGTTGGCTACTCCTGCCAGTTTAGTGTCATCTACAAATTCGATGAGTTCCCCCACTTTCTTCCATGTGGACGTAGTATCATTAAGGACTACTCGTTGAACATGGTGTCAGCCAACTATGAATCAATCTGGTGGTGATATTGTCTATTCCACTGGTTGCCAACTGGTGGGCTACGAGGAAATTTTCGTGGTTCGCAGAGAAACATTACCTCCAGAGCACCCCTAAAAGCAATTAATCCAGGCTGCGTGGGTACACAAGGCTGCGCCACCCACATGGCCCACGGGTAAATAAGGCTTGTGTTGCTTGCATTGTGACCACCACGAGGTAATGGTGGGAGGGGGAGAAGGGAACTTGCCCCACACGCCTGGCCTGGCCACTGGGCTGCTTCTTTTCTTCTGCTTTTGGCTGCATGCAAGGAAAGCAGCCAAAGTCTTTCTTTCTCTCCCCCAAACTCTGCCAGGAATGAGTCTTTGGGACGCTGCAAGGCTGCGCCAGCAAAGACTCATTTCTGGTGGTTTGGGGGAAGGAAAGACTTCTGCTGCTTTCCTTGCATGAAGCCAAAAGTCTCTCCCTCTCTCCCCCCCTGAGAACGGAGCCGGAGACGGTATCCTGCAATCCCCAATAATGATCGATCGGTAGAAACACAGGAATTTTCCTGCACTTTTTGGGGGATTTTTCCAGGGTCTCTGATTCGCAGGATTTAAAATTATACATTTGGTTGTCCCTGAGGTCCAAAAGGTTGGCGACCCCTGATCTATTCCATTTTTCTAGCTTACCGAGTAGATTGTGGTCTACTTGTCAAATGCCTTACTGAAATCTAAGTATACTATGTCCACAGCATTTCACTGGTCTAATAATTTAGTGACTTTATCAAAGAATGAAATAAGATTGGATTTGGCATGATCTGTCTTTAACCAACCCATGCTGACTGCTAGCTATAACTTTATTTGCTTCTAGTTGTTTGCACATGGTTTATCTTTCCCAGGATCTTCCCGAGTATTGAGGTTGAGACTGCTTGGTGACTAAGTGAAAAAGTGACTAAGAACCAGTTTTCACACTTATGACCATTGGTATCTGCATGGTCACGTGGTTTATTCAGATGCTTTGACGCCTGACTCACATTTATGACAGTTGGTATCTCAGGGTCATATGATTCCCCCTTTGCGACCTTTGGATGAAAAGTCAACGAGGAATTTACTTAATAACCCTATCACTTACTAACCAACTGCAGCGAATTCACTTAACGGCAGCAAGGAAGGTCGTAAAAAGGGGCAAAGCTCACTTCTTTCTCATTTAGCAACAGAAATGTTGAGTTCAATTGTGGTTGTTTTAAGGCGAGGACTACCTATACCACAAATCTAAGTTTTTTTTCCCCTCAATAGGAATAGTTATTTGGTAAATCCTCAAATAAGCTGAGGTAAATTTACTTGGGGGAGGCTTAAAAAAAAACAAAAAAACTACACATCACTTGTGCAACCAGCTTCGTTAGAACAACCCAGCAAAATAAAATTCCGGTTTATTGTTGGACAATATTGTTTTCACACATACATAAAACAGGCCAAAAAGAAGAAGAAAAAAAAAATTAACAGCAACTCCTTAGACAAAAATAAAAAGAACGAAAAGGAGAAAAAAAAAAAAAACAAAGGAAAAAAATCTTTTAATCTTTGGCCTTGCCATCTCACAAACCCACTACTTTATGGTACAGGTAAAAGTACATACACACAAAAAAAAAGTGTTACTGGAATGCTTGTCATAAACCTTGGACTTTTTTTGTGTGTGTTTTTGAAATTATTATTATTATTTTTTTACAAGGTCGTTTTTTTTAAGTTTTCTTCTCCTTTTTTGAGATAATGGTTTTTGGACACGGTCACACCACAAGTAAAGTCAAGAATTATTTTTCGTTTGTTTCGTTTCGTTTATAGGAACAAAGGAAAAAGAAGAAAAAAAAGAAAAGCACTTCAAAAGCACACCCCTCCCCCCTTTTGGTCAATGGAGATCGCGTTAAAAATGGCTGACCTCATCACAATATGTACAAAAATATAAAATGTAAATAAAAAATACAAACAAATTCTCCTTTTAAAGTTACTTTTAAGAAAGCAAGCTGGGCCTTGAAGTTTTCCCGAGGGGAGGGGAGAAGGGAGATAGATTTTTGGGCTGTTGGGGGGGTTTTTTTTTTTTACAAGTTGGGAAAAAAAATGGCAGCTCTACGGCCATTCGGCTTTTACTGGGGTTGGGGTGGATTTTTTTTTGTTTGTTTGTTTGCTCTACTTTATGACGGTGACCATTAGCAACAAGGGGAAACGTGGTTTTTTTCTTCTTTTTTGTAACAGGAAGTTTTCAAAGGTGAAAGAAGTTCACGCTGGCCTTTTTCTTAAAAAAATGTTTTTCCCTCTTTTCTTAAGTTTAAAAAAAAGTTGTTTCTTTCTTTTTTATTATTCTACTCCCTAGTCGTCTTCGTCGGTTTTCTGCTTCTTCGGATCGACGTCGTCGTCCTGTAAAAGGAAGGCGGGGAAAAAAAATGGGTCAGAGCGCTCAGATCTGGGAATTTTCATTCATTATAAATTAAATGCCCCCATTCAGCTGCTCCTAAAATCAGGTTTTCAAGGCAGGACCCATCCTCCAACCAGAAGAGAAACTCTTTGTCGCTCGGGGCTGAACTGATCTTGGTGGTTTTTCTTGCAGACGTTTCATGACCCAACTAGGTAACATCATCAGTGCTAGCAGGGAGTGGGGTTTGCTCTCATTTTATATACAATGGCTTGCTTGCCCTGTTTGTTTTTGGTGGAGTTATTATGGAGATTCCTTTATTAGGCTTTTGTTTACCATTGATTGTTGGGTCTAGTATGAAACTCCCTTCTAACACTGATGACATTCTCTACTTGGGTCATGAAACGTCTGCAAGAAAACTACCCAATTCGGATAGCATCAAGGACTCCAGTCTTCCTCTTTGCACTGATAAGGTTACCTAATTGGGTAATGAAAAGTCTGCAAGAAAACCACCAAGCTCAGAGGGGCAAGGGTCTTCAAACTTGGCAAGTTTAAGACTTTGTGGACTTCCAACTCCCATAATTCCTGAGCTAACATGACTGGAGGAGGAATTCTGGGAGTTGAAGTCCACAAAGTCTTAAAGCTCTCTCAAGTTTGACGACCTCTGCCATAGGTCCATCTCCCTGTATTTTTCCAGCAATCTATAACAGCACCATCTTCTTGATCCAACAGAATTCTTCGGGGACGTACCAAGCTGTGCAGGAAAAGCATGTGTATCCTTTCACAACCCAATTACCTTCCTGTCCCATTTTCTTTGTGGGGGCTTATCGCACAAGATCTCCCTGCAAGAGACAAAGGCAGTTTCTAAATTTGGTAATTTTTTTTAAAAAGAAAGGCCCCAGCTCTCCACAAATGGGCTTTTCCTAATGGCATTATTATCTTTTTTTTCTTCTCTGGGTCAGATTACATCCTCCATCTTTTCCTCAGCCGTCCTGAGCATCCTGCCTAGAACTCTCTGCGCTAACAATTATGGCTTGGGGCTTATCTGTCAATTGGTTTTGAAGATTCCTGGGAATGCCAGTTTATGGAAGTGACCCGAGACCCAGATCTGAAACCTAAATGGAAAAACTACCAGCAGACACTGGGCTCAGAAGGATGGGCCTGGCCTAAACGAGCAGGGAGAATTATTTTGAGACTTAGGTAGGTGACTTCAAAAGACAAGATCAGGTGGACTGAAATTAGGGCCCTGTTTCCATGCTTGGGATGCATCATAGCTTCTTCCAAAGATGGGGAAATTTTGGCATTATATATGCAGACGGCAGCAAGACTACAAGAATACGCTTTTGTGATTCCCACAATGGAGTAACGGCTGCGAAAGTTGATGGGAGAATTAGCAGAGGTGGCTAAATTTGACTGCTTTGATTAAAGGACACCATTTTGTTTCTGCATGGAACCCGGTTCTGGACTTTGTGCTTGAGGCGAGGGAAAAATATACCTATGAAAATTTTAGATTTTGAGTTTTGCCGATTGGATAAATTTGTTGTTAAAAATGGCTGGTATATATTGATACGTAAAAGTAAAAAGTTGAGTTTTTTGTTACCTGATTTTACCATACCAAATTAGTTGGAAGTGAATTTCTCTTTCTTCTCCACTTTTACCCTACATTTTCCCCCCTCGTACTCTTTTTTTGCCACTATTTTCATTTTTCTTTGCATTTCTGCATTTTATATTTCTGTATATTTTCCTTGCATTTCTGCATTTTATTTGTTCTTTGCATTTCTGCATTTTATATTTCTATATATTTTCTTTGCATTTCTGCATTTTATATTTCTGTATATGTTCTTTGCATTTCTCTATTTCATATTTCTGTATATTTTCTTTGCAATTCTGCATTTTATATTTTGATAAGCTATTAAAAACCATGAGCAGTAAGAGATGGAGGCCGGAAGACCAGATGCCCTCACCTCATCGTCCTCAGCTGCCCGTTTTCCGGTCGGACCTTCGGTCTCGTCATCTTCATCGCCGTCCTCTTCTTCGCCTAGAGAAGGAAGGACAGCTTGAGAAAGGAGCTCCGGGCCCAAACAGCTTCTTCACATCCTTCCAAGGCCGATCTCGGCTTAGGCCGGTGTCCTCAAAGCAGGTTTTTGCAGTGGGGTGGGAGGTGGTTTCCACCTCCCCACCAAAATTAGAGATCTAAGAGTTCAGACTCACAGGATAACAGAGTTGGAAGGGACCTTAAGAGGTCTTCTAGCCCAACCCCGTAATCCCGTTTCCACCTCAGCCCAAACCAGGTAACTACGGGAAGCTGCAGACCTTGTGGTCCTCCAGGATAGTCATTCGTAAGTGGAAAAACCCCAGGGGGGAAAAAAAAAGGAGTTGCTTCTAGGGAAATGTAGAAACCAAGCAGGCCTTCTGATCTAACAGCCGTGTTAGGATAACTCAGTAACAGTAGAGTTGGAAGGGACCTTGGAGGTCATCTAGTCGAACCCCGTCCTCGCAGGAAACCTATACTATTTCTGATAAATGGCTGTCCAATTGTGTGTGTGTGTGTGTGTGTGTCTGTGTGCCAGACGGCCAACCTTCCCCCAGTACTGTTCTTTTCCAAATAAAGGTAGTCCTTGACTTGCGACCACAGTTGAGGAGCCCAACGTTTCCTGTTGCTAAGCGAGAGTCGCGAAGCGAATTCCACCCCGTCCCCCTTTTACGACATTTTTGACGCCACAACAGCTTGTCACGGGAACCGGCTGCAGTTGAAAAACTGTTGTAAAGTTCACTCCCGGCTCGCCCTTGGGATGGGGAGTTGTTTTTTTTGGCCTGTCACCATGGCAAAAGACAAGTGGAACAGAATACCACTTGATTCAGGAAAGGAGGAAAAAAGCAGACACACCCCAATCGGATTGCGAGGCTCCCCCGTCCCAGTTTTTCCTAGCCACACAACTGGGTGTGTTTGTGTTTGTGTGTGTGTGTGTGTGTCCTTTAAGGCTCTTGGGATTTAAATCCCGACCCTTCCCGGAGAGGCCAATAATCTGGCTTAAGTGCCACGGGGATCTGCCAGAGATTAGGGTCACCTGAGAATAACTTTTTTCATCCCCCCCCTGCAAGATTAGCGTGTCTCTAGTTTCTTGGCACACAAATCCCATCCCCAGAGGGAGGGGGCCAGCAGCAGCCCAGACTCATCGAGGGGGGGGGGGAGAAAGGGAGGGGCTGGCAATGCAAGGCATCCTCTCCCCCCCCGCACGGCTTCTTCCCGGTCCTCCTTCTCCATCAGTGGGCAGGGTAACTAGGCAACCGTCCCCCACCCGGCAACCGAGATGCTCGGAACAACAAACTGGAGGATGCCGGAGGACTCATGGCGGGCTCGGTTGGAGCCAGGCTGTCTTTCTGTGCCCGGGAAGAGTCACCTTGACCGGCGGGCAGGGGGTTGGCTTAGCAGGCCTGGCAGCTGGCATTTTGGCTGGCATCTTCCCAGGCTGGCATCCGAGCCCCGGGGAGAATGCCCCCCCCCCCCCGCCAGGCGCCCGCTGGGCATTCGAAGCTCCCAAATATTTGCAGCTTTCCAACCTGGGGCATCCAGGAAGGAGCCCCCCCCCCTTCTTCCCCACGCCAGGTGCTAATACAGGTATAGTCCTCAACTTCCGACGGTTCAGTTACTGTTCGAAGCTAAGACAGCACTGCGGGGGGGAGAAAGGGACTGTTTTTCACACTTTCGACTGTTTTGCAGCATCCGCCGTGGTCAAGTTTGGGCATATGGCGACGGACTCGTAAGTTATGACGGTCACGGGATCCCCTTTGGCGACCGAGCCAGACTCGCTTAATGACCTAGTGACTTAATTTTAAGAAATGCAGTGATTCGCTTAATCGCCGCGGCAAGGATAAACTGGGGTGTGAATTCTGGGTGACTGAAATTATGGGTTCGGTTATGGTCTTAAGTCAAGGACCAGCTGTAGCGGAGAAAACGCCACGCGAAGGACGTTTTTTTCCCTCGGTGCAAAAGGCTGGAGCCACCACCCAAGGAGAAGGCAGCGTCATTTATGAGGGACAAAAAAACCCTATTCATTCTTTTTTTTTTAACTCTTTGACTCACGAAGATTTAAGCCGAAACGGTTGCAAATTGCCAGCATTCTGGCTAAACCCCGCCCCCAAAAAACCAGGTGTTTCCCTCAGGTACACCAGCCCAGGAATAGCAAATTACAGGACCCTTTGCATTATCTTACAGGCCAAAAATAGCTAATTATGGGCAGTCCTTGACTTGCAACTGTTCGTTTAATGACTGAAGTTACAACGGCCCCGAAAAATGCGGCTTAGGACTGTGTTTTCTTGCTTATGATCGTTGCAACGTCTCCATGGTTCCGTGATCAAAAGTCAGATGGCTTGTCAACTGGCTCGTATTTACGACAGCCGCAGCATCCCGAGGTCCCGTTTTGCGACCTTCTGACAAGCAAAGTCCATTGGGGGAGGGGGGGGAGAAAGCCGGATTCACTTAACAACTGGGTTACTAGTTTAATAACTGCAGTGATTTGCTTAAGGACCGGGTTGCAAACTGCAGAACTCCAGCGATCCACTTAGTGACGACAGTGGCAAGGAAGGTCGTAACACGGGGCAAAGCTCACTTAATCCATGTCTCGCTTAGCAGCGGAAAAAACGTTAAGTCGAGGACAGCCTGAAAATAGCTTCTCACCCAGCCTTTTCCAGAACTTTCTCGGCGATGGTGCCTGGACTGAAGTCCAACCGGCACCATTTTTTCTAGACATTTCTAAGCCTGGAAAATTTGTTCTTCTATTGAGTCTTAGCTCCTCTCAACGGCTCCCCTTAGCCGGAATGGCGTTTTTCATTTCTGCCTTTTATTGATCTTGAAACCATATATGCTTTTATTGGCACTGTAATTTTAACGGGTTTTATGGAAAGCTGCCCAGGCAGGTTTTGGCTTATCGGATGGTTTTTTTAAAAAAAATCTAATAAATGTTCTGCAGCTTCAACGCCAACGGAAGCTCCAGAATGGGCCTCTTCAGTGCCAGAAGGCAAAAACAGTTGGGAAGAGAGAATGGCAAATAATAAAAATAAATAAAAAAGAGAGTTGGAGGGAAGAGAGAGAGAGAATTGTAGATTAGTATGTAGGTAGATAGAAAGAGATGATAGGTTGATAGAGATAAATGTAGATATAGAGATAGTGATAGATAGATCGAGATAGACAAGGAGGTAGATCTCTATATCTATCCCATCATCTTTCTCTAGCTACAGTATCTCTATCTTCTCTCTCTTCTCTCTCATCATCTATCTCTCATTCTACCTTTCTATCATCTGTCATCATTATCATCTTTCTATCTATCTTTCTACCTATCTATCTAATCTATCTATCCATGCATAATCATCTCTAGCTACAATATCTCTATCATCTCTCTCATTTTCTATCTCTACCTTTCTATCATGTCATAATTATCATCTATCTATCTATCTATCTTTCTATCTATCATCTATCTATCTATCTTTCTACCTATCTATCTTTCTACCTACCTATCTATCCATCCAATCTATCCTTCCATAATCATCTCTCTAGCTACAGTATCTCTGTCATCTCTCTTCTCTCTCTCATTATCTATCTCTACCTTTCTATCATCTATCATTATTACCATCTATCTTTCTATCATCTATCCATCCATCCATCTATCATCTCTGTCTATCTATCCATCCATCTATCATCTCTATCTATCCATCCATCCATCCATCCAGAGAGACAGACAGATAGATGAGACAGAGATAATAGATATAGGTAAGTAGGCAGGTCTTTATTTTATTTATTTAATTTATATTGCAGCCTATTCACCCATGGCAACTCGAGGTGGCTTACACAATGTAAAACCATATTTAAAACAAAAAACAAAAAATAAAAAGAACGATAAAAACTAACAAAAAGAATCAAATAAATTAATAAAGTGCAATAGAGATAGTTTGGCCTACTGGGTAAGGCACCAGGCTAGAAAACATAAGATGGTGAGTTCTAGTCCCGCTTTATGCATGAAAGCTGGCTGGGTGACTTTGGACCAATCACCAGGAGACAGTGAGTTCTAGTTCTGCCTTAGTCTGAAAGCCAGCTGGGTGACTTTAAGCCAATCATCATCAAGAGATAATAAATTCTAATCCCCACTATTCACATGAAAGCCAACTGGATGAGCCAATCGCCAGGAGACGGCGAGTTCTAGTCCCACCTTAGGCAGGAAAGCCAGCTGGGCCTAGTTCATTCTCTCAGCCTACCCAGATGTTGTAGGAAAACAGAACAATAAACAAAACAGAAGGAAGGAAGGTATGTATATTTATGCAAATAATAAAGGTGGGGCCCAAAAGTACTTCCTGGTCCAGTGGCCTCTTGAAAAAGCACCTTTGGAGCAACTATGACCTGGATGACTTGAGAGAATCTTCCTAGACAATAAAGGTGGGATAAATAAATAAATAAAAACTATTTCCCCCCCCTGCAGAGAGATTCCTGGTTAGAAGAAAAAGTTAAAAATACTAAATCCCGTCCCGTTTAGAAGGAGACAAGCTTTTGAGTGAATAGTTGCTTTTAATTCCTCTCTTCTCCAAGGAGTTACACCTGGAGACTTTTGGGAATTCCAGCTCTTGGTGCCCATTTTGCAAAATTGCACACAATCCTACTTTAGCTGTTTTCCCCGTGCCGATCGCTCCCGTGGTGTGTAAAAAACACAGAATTGGCTTGTTTGTCATGCTCTACGCCAAAGGGCCACCAGGGGGACCCGGCCTCCTTTCCACACTTTCCACCATAGCCAGCTCAAGCCTAAATCCTCTCCAGCCAGGCGCCCCTTCCGTTGGGGTGGACTACATTTCCCAAGAAGAGACCAAAAAGAAAAAGGAAAGGAGAAAGGGGAAAGGAAAGGAAAG